GAAACATTTGCATTTAATGGCACTATTCAACTTTGCTTGATCATTGACACACTTCATGGACGAGTGACCTAAAGAAAGTCAGATCTAAAGATAGTTTCCTCTGTGCAGTGGAAGACAGGCTTAAATTCTGGCAGTGAGTTCATATTTTTCTTATATATATATATATATGCATAAAGACAAAAGGAAAATTTATCTTAGCTGATATGTTTCATCTTTTGTGGGACTTTATCAAGACAAATGCAAGAATAAAGTCCCACAGAAGACAAAACATATTGACTAAGATGTTTTGTAAAAAGACAATATGAAAAGACAAAGGTCTTTATTCATATTGTTTTTTATAGATATACTCTAACTGAAATTTTCACCCCCCTCCACACACATATATATATATATATATATATAACGTCATCCAAAGACAGACTGTTTCGCTGTTTCACAGCTCATCAGTGTGTCTAGACATCCGGTTGCCTCTAGCTAGGATCGAAACCCGACTGACTTGGTGTCAGTTGGTAGATTCTAACCATTAAGCCGTTGGCGCACGGTAAGGATGGAGGTAGATTTTTAGCGTATTTATTTTTAGAATAGATATATATGTAAAAATTTCTTTATTCATATTGTTTTTTATAGATATACTCTAACTGAAATTTACCCCCCCGTCATGTATATATATATATATATATATATATATATATATATATATATATAAAAAAAGAAAGAACAGTAAGATATAAAATCCGTGTTCTTATAGATATTTTATTTTTACAAAATAGTGCTCAATGTAAATTTACAGAGCATTAATATTATAAATTAATTGATTTAAAATATGTTTTTTTTTTTCGCTACACAGTTCCAACCATGTTGCAAAATTAAATTCAGGTTTTTAGCTTCTATTTTTGAAACATGGTTGGAACTGTGTAGTGAAAAAAAACCATATTTTAAATCAATTAATTTATAATATATATATATATATATATATATATATATATATTCGCCCTTGCATGGAGTATTGCTGCCATATATGGGCTGGAGCACCTTCTGCCGACCTCGGAGTTCTTGACAAGATCCAGAGACGGATATGTAATCTAATTGGCCCTGATCTAGCGTCTTGTCTGCAGTCACTCTCTCACAGACGCGCCGTCGCCTCTCTCTGTCTTTTCTACAAATACCTCCATGGTAACTGCTCTGATGAGCTGCTCTCTCTGGTTCCCAGACTCCATGAATTCAAGCGCCCTATGAGGCTGGCATCCCGCTCTCACCTTTACACCGTAGAAACCTTCAAATGTAGCCGTCTCTTCTACTCCAATAGCTTCATACCTCGCACCTCTCGCCAGTGGAACACACTCCCCAATTACTGTTTCCCTGAAAGCTATAATCTCCAACTATTCAAATGTAATGTCAATCGACATCTCCAATTACCTTGATCTACCCACTATCTTTTTCCTCTTCCTTTCTCCTATCACTCTTATCTGCTCTCACCCAAATCTTCTGCAACCCCTGCATCCTAGTGGCTTCACGCCTTGCTTGGGGCACAATACTTAAAAAAAAAAAATATATATATATATATATATATATATATATATATATATATATATATATATATATATATAGGTAAAAATTTCTCAGAATTAACCTGTAGAAAAAGACAATAGGTATAAAGGAAAAAGACAATCGGAAAACTGTACAGTTTTAGCTGATGCATTTTGTCCAATGTGGACTTTATTCAAGGCAAAAGACGAAATGAATTTAAAATAATTCACTCAGAAGGAAAATCCTCGACAGTACTGCCATTGAATCTCATCCAAATATTAATCTATGTCCAGGTTTTTTCACAATATCACTTTTCCTAACAAATCACTGGTCTCCCAAGCCAACATACACAATAAATATATTAAGAAATCAAAAGAAAACAGCTGAATCCATCAACACAACAATATTTCTACATGTGAAAATATTCTCTTCAAACATAAAGTAATTGACATAATTTTTCAGTTGACCATATGAATATACAGGCATACCTCAGGTTACGTCATTTCTAGTTAAGTCGTTCTCCATTATACATCATTTGTCAAAAAATATATGTAAATAATCAAAGTGAATGTAAATATTGGTAAATTTAGCATAAATTAGTTTATTTTCTATTATCGCGAAATATTTTTAATAATGGCATTTCTTATTTATCCTTGCAAAATCATTTTATGTTATAGTGTCTTAGAGCAAACCACATTCACAAATAAATTGTCCATGATGTACTGTAAAGATCACCAAATTGTAAACCTCTACATTTACAAGTATATATGTAGATGTATTCATAAATTTAGATTACTTTTTTTCTTGTACTATATTAAAAAATAAAATTTATTAGTTTGTAAGCTCAAAATAGATTCTTATTGACCATATATTATTAAAAATGCATTTATAAATAAAATACAGAACTGGGAATGATTATTTGTGGTTTAACCTAGTGACAAGTAAATTCAGAGAAAAGTAAATTTGACTTACAAATTACCAATGTAAGGTGAGGTATACCTGTACAATAGTGTTTCTAAATTCTTCTAGTTGCTAATGACATTTTGTTTGTTGTTTATAGATACTTTGTTTCAATAAATTCATTTCATTTTTTGCTTTGAAAATCCTACATTGGATGAAGTGTGTCAGCTAAAACTACAGTTTTCTTATTGACATTTATTTATATATATATATATATATATATGAAGAAATATAGTCTTAAGGTGTGCTATATTTATGGGATAAAGTGCTCAATATCAAAGGCAGAGCATGTGTAAATATAAAAGTGAACATTGAAGACAACACTTAGAGGTGACAAGCTGTTTCATGCTAGATGCAATCGTCAAGCTTGATTGCTTGTGACTAGCATGAAAACAGCCTGTTGCCTCTAAGTGTCGACTTCAGTGTTCACTTTATATATATATATATATATATATATATATATATATATATATATATACATACATGCATGCACACACACACACACACACACACACACACACATATATATATATATATATATATATATATATATATATATATATATATATATATATATATATATATAGTAATAGTAATAATCTTATAAGTATGGGAAATTATACTATCCAAAAAACCTTTGGTGTCTTGATTTGCGAATAATCAAACCAATACCAAAGGGGAAAAAAAGGTATAAAAAAGAAAGAGCCAAGGACATGTATATTAGCCAAAAATAATCGTCTAGCATGCAAGTCCAAAGTCCAAAGAAAAAAAATCCCAATACGAGTAAGCAAAATAACTAAATAAAGTGCTCAATACAGTAAGTAGAGCAGACCAAGTTAAACCTAGAGAGCCAGGCAAACCTACCAAGGTTTCACCTAAGCAGATTGTCAGGTAAGGCTATATATAAATATATATGTATTTAATATTTATGTATTTAATTCATATATATATATATATATATATATATATATATGTATTTTTCTCTCTTCTCCCCTTCCATTTCAATATATCCCTTCCGTTAAGTTAACCGTTTAAATAGGTCATGGTCTGGTCCCTACTCCCCCAATACTAAGCATGATTGAAAGAAATATTAAAATAAACACTCTCTAAACTCGACCATGTCTCTCACACCACTCCTTGCTAGCCACTCTGTTAAATTACATAAACTTAATACTACCTGTCAAAAGTGTGAATTTTCATTTCATCTTTCGTTTCATTTTTTGGAAGTGTTATCTGATGATCCAGTATCCCTTAAAAGTGCTCTGGTGAAATAAATTATTATAATGGAACCTTAAAATAGTCTGTTTTTCTTTAAAATATATATGTATGTATGTATGTGTGTGTGTTCTTTTGTTTTGTTCTTACCAACCAACTAAACAAATGAAAGAGTCAAACAATTTTTATAATGATATGGTAATACCAGAAATTGTTATTGAAAATCATAGAATAAAAACTTTTCATTTCTGAGTGAACAAGATTATTGCAAATATTTCTAATCTAATTCTGGTCAGTGTTGTTAAGTCATCTTACAGTGGCGGAAAAGGAATTAAAAGAAAATAAATTAATTTATACAGCAACAATATTAAATCATGTTTAAAGTAAAATGCATTTGTATTTGAAAAAGTGCATAACTTTCAAATCTACTGATAATTATTGTTGTCCTCACTTCAAGAAAGAGAATTCCACTTTGAGGAAGATTTTGATCATGTCATGCCCACTGTCGTTAGTCCTATTTACAAATCACAAATATCAAAGGAAATTGTTACGAGGGAGGAAGGATGTGTTGAGAGACTTGACCAAGCATTTTAATCAGATGTGGGATGGGCCGAGTCAAGCCAACATTGATCTTTCAGAAGCCCAGACACTTGTATACAAAGACAACGGCACACATCCAGAAACATGACCGTTCTCCAGCAATCTGCATGTTGCAGGAATGGGGGTGGATCAGTAAGGAAATGAACAAAAGCAAAGACAGGCCAGCTAATAAAGAGGACGATTGAGAAGATGAAGTGTTATGAAGGAGAATATGAAGAGGTGTGCTTGCTTCACCAGCAGCTGCCATCGACAACGGTTACCAGGGAATTGGATACTGTCAGCGTAGTGGAAATGCCAGTGCTTAGGAGATGAGGAATGGATTGGAGAGTAGAAATGATAGCAGAACTTTTCTTTCTTCCATGTTATTTTCTTTTTTTTTTTTAGTTTTTTAATCAAATGGAGATGTTCAGACCTTCTACTTCATCTTTACCCAACATCTGTAGAAACTTGATGCCTTTGTTTTCTTTTTTTTTTCTTCTTTCTCTCTTGCATTCTTTGTATTGAATAGTGAGAAATTGCACACCTGCTACCACTCTGTCCTTTTTCTTATTTTTAATTTGCTTCTTTTCATTTTGTATGTATGTGTGTGTATTTTTGCTTTGTTTAACACTGGTCACTTGCATTTCTTTTTTCTTCAAAATGACAGCCAAATTGCAACAAGGTGCTGCGAGGCAGCAACAGTTTGAATTCCTAATTCGTTATGATATTGTAGGGATGTAAGATAAATGTGTAGAGAATGAAGAAAAGGAAAACGAAAAGGATAGAGAAGGAAGAAAATAGAATGAAAAAGATAGAGAATGAAAAGGATAGAGAAGGAAAAGTAAAGAGAAGAAAGAAAAAGAAGGAAAAGGAAAGAAGAAAGAAAAGAAAATGAAAAGGATAGAGAAGGAAAAGTAAAGAGAAGAAAGAAAAAGAAGGAAAAGGAAAGAGAAGAAAGAAAAAAGGAAAAGGAAAGAGAAGAAAGAAAAAAGGAAAAGGAAAGAGAAGAAAGAAAAAAGGAAAAGTAAAGAGAAGAAAGAAAAAGAAGGAAAAGGAAAGAGAAGAAAGAAAAAGAAGGAAAAGGAAAGAGAAGAAAGAAAAAAGGAAAAGTAAAGAGAAGAAAGAAAAAGAAGGAAAAGTAAAGAGAAGAAAGAAAAAGAAGGAAAAGTATAGAGAAGAAAGAAAAAAGGAAAAGTAAAGAGAAGAAAGAAAAAGAAGGAAAAGGAAAGATAAGAAAGAAAAAAGGAAAAGGAAAGAGAAGAAACAAAAAAGGAAAAGGAAAGAGAAGAAACAAAAAGAAGGAAAAGGAAAGAGAAGAAAGAAAAAAGGAAAAGTAAAGAGAAGAAAGAAAAAGAAGGAAAAGGAAAGAGAAGAAAGAAAAAAGGAAAAGGAAAGAGAAGAAAGAAAAAGAAGGAAAATGATAGAGAAGAAAGAAAAAGAAGGAAAAGGAAAGAGAAGAAAGAAAAGAGAATGAAAAGGATAGAGAAGGAAAAGTAAAGAGAAGAAAGAAAATGAAGGAAAAGGAAAGAGAAGAAAGAAAAAAGGAAAAGTAAAAAGAAGAAAGAAAAAGAAGGAAAAGGAAAGAGAAGAAAGAAAAAAGGAAAAGTAAAGAGAAGAAAGAAAAAGAAGGAAAAGGAAAGAGAAGAAAGAAAAAAGGAAAAGGAAAGAGAAGAAAGAAAAAGAAGGAAAAGGAAAGAGAAGAAAGAAAAAGAAGGAAAATGATAGAGAAGGAAGAAAATAGAATGAAAAGGAAAGAGAATGATAGGATAGAGAAGGAAAAGTAAAGAGAAGAAAGAAAAAGAAAGAAAAGAAAGAAAAAGTAGGAACGGTATAGAGAAGAAAGAAAAAGTAAGAAAAGGAAAGAAAAGGAAGTAAAAGAAGGAAAAGGAAAAAGAAGGGAGAAAAAGAAGGGAAAAGATAAAGAATGATGAAAAAGGAAAATGATCTAAAAGAAAATAAAAGAGTAGGAATCAAAGACAACAACAAGTAAAGGATATATGTGTAGAAAATTTATTAAAGAAATTAAAAGCAAAAGAGAATAAAGAAAAAACAGTTGAAAAATCAATGAGAAAAGGAAGAGGAATTTAGAAGATGAAAAGAAGAAATTGACAAAAAAGACTGAAAAAAATTTGAGGAAAAATACAAAAAAAAAATACAAGCAAGAAAAATGAGAATATGAAGAAAAATTTGGAGGAAATTGAAATTAAAAGAATTGACACAAAAAAAAACACAAGGTTGAACTTAGGAAAGAACAAACTTTAAATTACGAAGAAAAGATAAAAGAAGGAATAAGAAAGATGAATAAACAACAGCAAAAACAAGTAGAAGAAAAGGAAATAATATTTTACAGATCAGCTTAAGAGCAAAAATGACAAAATGGTATGAAAAAGCAATTAAAAATCTAAATGGATCGACAAAAAAGAATTACAAAATTCTGCTGAATGCATGTGTCCATCAACATACGAATATTTTGACATCCAATCAGAAATGTCTATTTAAATTATGCAGAAAGTGTAAAACTTATTAAAAATAAAGTGAATGCCCTTAAGCCTATGACAAGTGGTCAGCTTTGATGACCAACCAATGCTATGTATTTTTTTTCACTATGCCACTTTAGCACAAGCCACATTGATGGTGCACACAAGGAGAAGAGAACTCACTCGTAATAATTTCAAAGACAGGCATGCAAATCACTACTCTATGAACATGATTGAACTAGACAACCATAGTGTCTCTAAATTTCCATTAGGTTTTAAAACTGCTATTGCAACTTTTGTGAAATCGGGAATCTTTGTTTCAGTTTTATTAGAAAGATAAAAATCCAATTTGCATCAATTTTATGCATTCATTTATTCTTCCTCATCTTCGTTGTTATAGTTAGGTTTTAACCAATCTTTTCACCAGACTTTTCAGGTGCCTGCCATATTTGGTAGCTTTCCATTAGATTAGTTTCTTCTCACTCCATAGTCCATACAAGAAGATATATTCTTTTTCTTTTATGTATTATGTCTGTCAAGAACATGGGTGATCATGGCTCTCCTCAATATCCTATCCTTTGAAAATCATAGCAATTTTGTCCCCTCATTATAACTCCCAGTAACTGTTCTGCCATTTTGTTGTAGAGTAGTTTTCACAGTGGAGGCTTGTATTTCACTAAGTCGGTCCTAAATTAGGTTCGACGTACAAAACGTTTAGGAACTTGAAATAATAGTTAATGATGCAGCAATCTACTTGTGGGGCTCATACTTTAATGTCCGACATCGACTGACTCACACAACTTACTAAGCTCAACTGGCGACTGCTACTACTACTACTTATCTGTGGGAGAGTCTATTTACAATAGAAATAGGTACGTTCCGGTATAACACATTCACATATAAAAGCTCCTCAGGTAGGTGGCTTGTTGCTTCCACTAGTCCCTTTTGTTTTCAATATGTTAATGTCAAATTTTTCAAGTTTTCATTATATGTCTCAGAAATTTCAGACATTTTTCTGATTTTCAGTATAAGCATCCTTGTTTTCATTTTCCATAAAACTTATTGCTCACATACTCCATCCATGGTATTCTCAGCATCCTTTTGTAGAACTACATCTTTGCTGCTTCACATTCTCTTCATCTGTGTGGAAATTGTCCAGAATTCACTGCCATATAGGAGGCTTGATATTACATAGCAGTCCAGCACTATTTTCTTTGTTTCTAATGAAGTTTTTCTGTTTCGTAATACTTTCAGTTTTTGGAAGCCATCTTTTGCTTTCCGATGTAAATTCAAATTTCAATGTTACATTTTCCATCATCTATTAAAACACTTCCCAAATAATTACGTCTTTTTACTTACTTGATTTTGACCACTCAAATTCAGAGCTCGTATTTTGAGTCAATGTTTTTGCTGACAACCATACGTTGCATTCTTGCAATTGGTGGTTAGTCCTTTCTTCTTGCTTTTCTTTACTACCTTGTATCTGTGTTTGTGCAGTATTTCAGTGTCTGTGGCTGCTATCATCAAGGTTTAATCTGCATAAGAAGGTATCTGTTAATTCGTGCTTGCTGTGACATTCTTGCTTTCTCCATGGAACTTTTGTTTTGTGAGTTCAATTTCTTGGTAAGAGTGAAATTCATATACTCTGTTTGATGAGAAAAGTAAAAGATGATATAACATAACAAAACAAAACTGATATGTCAGCCTGGACAGTGAAAGCAGAACAATCTGCTTCTACAGATTGAATAAAAAGCTTAGTTGAAGATTCGTATAGATGACCAAATAAAAAAAACATCTGAAGAATGCTGGAGTGTAACAATAACCAAAATACTAATGCAATAATAACAAAGATGAAGAAACCAGCTTAAAAAAAAGTGTATAATGATGGTAATATTTAAAATTCAGAAAAAAAAAATGCAAAAATTTTGTTTGATTTTCTGAGCTCATGCATGCTATCTCCTGATGAGTGGACAGAGTGATTCCTGGAGGGTTTGTCTATGAAACTTTGGGGTCAGGATGCTGAAGGTAACATCTATCAGCTAAGTGATAAAACATTTACTTGTATTAATTCTCTATATATTATATATATTAATAAATATTTTTAAAAATAGTATGACAAATTAGAAAGAAGTTATTGTGATACATTTCATCCATTAGGATTTCATTAGACTGGCTAAAACGTGCCATAAAAACTTTTTCCAATTTGTCATACTATTTTTCTAAATATTGTTTGTTGATATATAAAATTATACAAAATTATATATCATTATATCATCAGTAAATATATATATATATATATATATATATATATATATATATATATAATAACTGATACATCAAAATACAGTGATAAGGAACACCCAAACTGGATGAATAGATTTCTGTAACCTTGGAAATGTGAATTATGATTTTTTGCTGTGCCTTTAAAACCCAGTAATTTTAAAAGTTACTCTAAAATTCGCTTGAGGATGAAATGGAACTAATGTCTTTAATTTAATTACAAAATTAAATTTGAAGCTTTTAGCTTCCATTTTTGAAACATGGTTAGAACTGTGTAGCAAAAAAAAAACACATTTTAAATCAATTAATTTATAATATTAATGCTCTGTAAATTTACATTGAGAACTATTTTGTAAAAATAAAAATACCTATAAGAACACCGGATTATATATCTTACTGTTCTTTTCTTTTTTTTATATATATATATATATATATATATATATATATATATATATATATTTTTTTTTTTTTTTTCTCACCTGTAGCATGACTGAGTTTCATACAAAACACAATCTTCAGGTGTTGAATTGTCAGTTCAGGAAAAAAAATGTATATTTATTAATATATAATTTATAGCTCTGTTATATTACATTGAGCACTATTTTATTAACACCAGCACTCAATGTGCAATATGATATATATATATATATATATATATATATATATATATATATATATATGTATGCATATATAAATAAAAAGAAAGAACAGTAAGATATATAATCTGGAGTTCTTATAGAAATTTTTATTTTTACAAAATAGTGCTCAATGTAAATTTACAGAGCATTAATATTATAAATTAATTGATTTAAAATATGGATTTAAAAATAAGTTAATCCAAAATTCGCTTGAGGATGAAATGGAACTAATGTCTTTAATTTAATTACAAAATTAAATTCAAGCTTTTAGCTTCTATTCTTGAAACATGGTTAGAACTGTGTAGTGAAAAAAAACACATTTTAAATCAATTAATTTATAATACATGTATATATATATATATATATATATATATATATATATATATATAAAAGTGAACATTGTAGTCAACACTCAAAGGCGACAGGCTGTTTTCTGCTGGATGCAATCATCAGCCCTGTCGTCCAGCATGCCCGCTGCATTCTGAGTGTTGACTTCAATGTTCACTTTTATATTTATATTTACATACGCTCTATCTCTGATATTGAGCACTTTATCCCATAAATATAGCACACCTTAAAACTATATTTCTTCATATATATATATATATATATATATATATATGGTGGACTCTCCTATCATGAACAATAAATGAGATTCAGCATTAGATGATGCCTTTTGTTTTACACTTATGCATGCTAGAAGGGGTTATTGTGGAGAAAATCAAGTATGGGAAAGGCATATTTCATTTGTGCTTTCTTAAGTGTGATACTAGCCCAGCCTTACTGCAGGCGACAAAGCCACACTGACAGATGATATTTGTTAAAGCAGGATTTTGATGGCATCTCTGTTTCAGAGCTTGATGAAGATGATCATGTTGCTTTAGTCTGGTGTCTTCAAAATCTTTAACTTAATGAAACACGTCTTATGCTACTCCTTTCAGTTTGATGCTTGGGCTTCCCAGGTTTTCAGATCAAAGTTGAGACATTTCAAGTTGTCTTTCAATTTGTCTTTGTAGTGTAAGAGTGGATGTCCAACTGAATGGTTGGAGTTTGGTGGTTGTCCATACGGCACGTTCTTTGGAAGCCTATGCTCACCCATTCTCACAACATGACCAGCCCACCTAAGTTGTCTCTTTGCTAGAATGGTTTCAATGCTTGTGATGTTGTTACATTTCTTCAATATATATATATATATATATATATATATATATATATATATATATATATATAATTATTAATTTAAAAATATGAATCCAACTCATGACATAAGAGGTCTCATGTTTCAAAAACAAGAGCCGAAAAACTTCAATATAATTATTTGAATTAAATTGAGTTAAAGTAAGCTCTGTTCCATCTTCAAGCGAATTTTTTTTTTTGAATAACTTATTTCTGAAATTTACGTGTTTTAATAATTGAAATCAAAATTTCCATGGTAACAGCTAGGGTGAATTGTTTAAATTGGGTAGGCGGGTGTTGGGTGTTAATAATAAGTATCAGTATAGAGTTACTTTCATAGATGTCAAGTCAGGGTAAGGTTGGGGTGTCTAAATTTGAAACGGAAGATGTTTATGCCTAGTCTGGTTTACGTGTCTATGGAGATTTATTTATTTTTTTATTTTATTTCTTTATGTTAAGGGATTTGTACATATAAAAACTGCCGTAACATTTGTTTTTTGACGACTTCATAAAGGGTTATCTTTTTTGTAGGGTATTTAAACTATTTATTTGGGCTATGGATTATAAAAGTTATTATATTGTATGCTTGTTTTTAGCTAATTATTCAAACCATGGATTTGATGATGTCGGCAAAAAAACGTTAACTCATGTCTATTGTTTAATAGATTATTATTATTTAGAAACCTAATAATGTGCAGTTTCTCATGGAGGCACATATATATATATATATATGAGAGGCATGGTGGAGTAGTGGATAGCAGCTCAGATTAAGGAGTTGGAGAGTTGTTCAAATTCCAGCTGAATCTATTACATTCACAACTATGTGTTTTAATACCCCTAATAAAGTATTAATCCTCTTCTTCTCCCCCCAGCTATGGGTAAATAGCAGGTCAGACTAGGTTCTATAGCCTTGGATGGCAACTGCTCTAGGAGAATGATAACTGAATTCAAAACTTGCGGAGGGTTGTTTGGGGACCTTACGGCACATAGTGTACCAGGTCTCTGTATTTGGCTCTTCAAAGAGTGTGGTTGGTTCTGCACAATGCCTTCACCACTATAATCAAATCATATGTGCTGGTGTCTTGGCTGTTGGTTCCTAGGAACTGAACTGCTT